TTATTTCATGAGATGAATTGTCTATCTTTTAAACAATTGCAAATTATTTCCTTTTCATCAGATTTTAAAGTGACTTTGAGTACAAACCAATATTGGGCAAATAACACATTATGTTAAATAGTAGGGGCAAATTCAGAAAGCCAAGCTGTGAGTTTTGAGCAACTGTGTCTCCATGATTTAAAATGCTACTTTCTTATGAAGTATGGAACAACTCTTATTTTCTCTGAAACTTTGATTATACATGCATTCATTTCTTTTTAGTTTCAGCATCATGAATAATTCTGGCTTAGAATTAGGGATTAGTTTTTTGAGGATAGGAAGAAACTTGCCCATCATATTAGGGTTTTAATTTACTATAATATATGATTATATATGATCATATATGATTATAATTATATGATCATATAATTTATGATATAATCTATTATAATTTGGGCTTTTGGGTTTTCTAAATAATTTTTTGCTTTAAAATCTCTCACGGGGTCTTTCTTAAGACGTCTTCATTCATCTCTGGAATTAACAGCAATAGGTTCAAATCTTTGGCAAGTGAATAATTTCCAAATATCATCTTTCCTTCTCCCTGAATTGCATTCAGAGTAACTCTAAACACTTGTCTTGCAGAGAAAATGAACTTCTTTATTCCTAGGAAATATTATTCAACTAAAAGGTTTAACAATGTAATTCCCAAATGAGTTTAAAGAATTTATGTCTTAAGTGAATCTTAATTCTAATTTACTTTTTACTTTGAGTGTGGCTACTGCTTTTGATTAATGTGCACTTTGTACACTAGCTGCTTCCTTCAGTTTACTGCCAGCTTTATAGTAGGTAAGTGATACTTCCTCAAACTTCACTTTATGATACATTTAAAAGGTCAATCTAGGCTTTTCTAAAACTATCATTCTATGATATGAATTTCTAAATTGCTTTATCTTTATATCACAAGACATAATTTTTGACATTTGCCTATTTACCAAAAATATAATAAATTCAAAGTAGTCATTATATGTCTAGATTAGTTTAGCACATTAAAGACTGTATCTTCAACCATAGAAACTGTAATATCTCCAAATGAAATCACTCTCTGTATCTGTAGGCAATTCAGAACTCATATTCTAGAATAGTAGGAAACGAAGCAAAGATGTCTACTTTTAGACCATCTTTTTAACATATTCTGGAGGTCTTAGCCAGTATAGTAAGGCAATAAATAGACAAATGGATAGATGGATGGAGGAATGGATGGATGGATATATAGATAGATAATAGACAAATAGGAAAGGAAGAAATAAAAAAAATATATCCTTCTTCATTGTGGATATGGATATGATATTTTATGCAGAAAAATCCTAAGGAATCTCCAAAAATCTACTAGAATTAATAACCAAGTTTAGTAAGTTCATAGAATTCAAGGCCAGTGTTCAGTTTTCATTCTGTAGCAACAAATAACTAGAAACTGAAATTTAAAAATCAATACCACTAAAAAATGCCAATGGCATTCTTCACATAAATAGAAAAAAAACATTCTTAAAATTTGTACAAATGCTAGGAATAGATACATTGTTGGTGGGACTGCAAAATGGTGCAGCCTCTGTGGAACATGGTATGGAGGTTCCTCAAACAATTGCAGATAGATCTACCATATGACCCAGCTATCCCACTGCTGGGAATATACCTAGAGGAATGGTAATCATCAAGTCGAAGGTATACCTGTTCCCCAATGTTCATTGCAGCACTCTTTACAATAGCGAAGAGTTGGAACCAGCCCAAATGTCCATCATCAGATGAGTGGATACAGAAAATGTGGTATATCTACACAATGGAATACTACTCAGCTATAAAAACGAATGAAATACTGCTATTTGCAACAACATGGATGGACCTTGAGAGAATTATATTAAGTGAAACAAGTCTTGCACAGAAAGAGAAATACCACATGTTCTCACTTATTGGTGGGAGCTAAAAATAATTCACACACACACACACACAAAAAAAAAAACCGGGGCGGGGGGGAAGAAGACTTAACAACTACAATTCCTTGAAGTTGATACGACAAGCAAACAGAAAGGACATTGTTGGGTGGGAGGGAGGAGAGGGAAGAGGGAGGGAGGTTTCAGTAATGGGCCACAATAATCAACCACATTGTATATCGACAAAATAAAATTTTAAAAAAATAATAAATAAAATAAAAATAAAAATCAATACCACTTATGATACCTTCAAACAACATGATATACTTAGAGATAAATTCAGCAGTGTCTGAGATCTGTATACTGAAAACTATAGTGTTTACCGAGAGAAAGTAAAGAAGATCTAAATAAATACAGAGATGCACCATGTTTAAACATCAGTCAATATTACTAAGATACCAGTTCTCCACAGATTGGTCTGTAGATTAAGCAATTCCAAATTAAACTCCAATGGCCTTTCTTTTAGAAATTGGCAAGCTGATATAAAATTTATATGGAAATGAAGAGGAAAAAGGATATGCAGAGTTGGAGAGCATATGCCACCTAGTATCAAGACTTACTATATAATATTCAAGGAAGTGTGGTATTGACATAATATAAACACATCAATGAAATTGATTGGAAAACCCAGAAATGAACTCACAAATATATGGTCAACTAATTTTCAACAAATGTGTCCAATTTAATGGTGGTAACGAATAATCTTTTCAGCAAATGATATTGAAACAACTAGTTATCTATTTTAAAGAACTGAAAGCCCACTCTTACTATGAATCATGCATGAAAATTAAGTTAAAAAATACTACAGACCAAATATAAAAGCAAAACATTAGCACTTCAAGAAGAAAAATAGAAAATCTTAGTAAAATTTAATCATGCTAACATTTTTTTAGATAGGAAACAAAGGGCATGAATTTTCAAAAAAGTGATAAATTAGACTTTCTTGAAAGACACAATTTAAAAAATAAAAGGAAAGCCGTAGACTGGGAGAAGATAATAAAATTAAATACATAAACATATACATGTATATTATGTATGTATATCTACAGTATATATAGACAAGAGTATGTATCTAGATTGTATAAGAATTATTACAACTCAATAGTAAAAAGTCAGACAAACCAATTTTTAGAGATGGGTGAAAGATTTGAAAAGATATTTTGCTAAAGTAGATATCTGAATGGTCAATAAGTGTATGAAAAGGTACTTAATATCATTAGTCATCAGGACATGGGAAATTAAAACCATTATAAGATATATCACTTAGATACTGGCTAGAATTTTAAAAGACAATACTCAGTGTTGGTGAGGATGTAAAGCAATTAGACTCATGCATTGCTATTAAGAATATAAAATAGTATCACCACTTCGAAAAATAATTTGACAATTTCTTTAAAAATCACACATACATTTACCATATGACTCATCAATTCCACTATTATTTGTCTAAGGAAAATGAAAACTTATGTCTACATAAAGACTTGCACACAAATGTTTATAGTAACTTTATTTATAATATTCAAAATTCAACTCAAATACCTATTTTGAAGAATAGATAAACCAAAAGTATATCTGGTACAATAAAATACTATTTAGTGATAAAAAGGATTGAATTACTTACACTTGCAACAACATGGATAAATCTCCAATACATTATGATGAGCCAAAGAAGCTAGATACTGTGTGATTCCATTTATATGAAATTCTAGAAAAGACTAATGTGGGCCCATGGTAAAGATGATTTACTGCAAAGGGATATAAGAAAATATTTTGGGTTGATGGAAATATTCTATATCTTCATTGATGTCATGATTGCAGGTTTATAAATCTGTCACACTTATTGAACTGTACATTTAAAACAGATGTATTTTATTGTATGTAAATTATACCCAAATGTATATAAGAATTATTGTATTTATACATTTTATTTATACTTGATTCCCAAAGGAGAATAACTCAAAAGATCAATGAACACCTAAGCATAATTTCAAAGTTAATTCCTGTTTGAAACTATATAAAATTATTTCTAAAAAGACAATTAATTGCTTACATCTAAGTATAAAAAAATTGACCTTTAGTGTGTGTGGGCATAAAATAGTGTTTTTTGGGTTTTTTAAAAATTTTATTTAAAGTTGATTTAATATAGCAATGTATTAAAATCAGAGGAAAACAGTAAGTGTAGAAACAAGTTTAAACTGAGTCACAATCAAAATAATGATGTTAACTAATAATTAGAAATGACATAATTAGAAAAATAGAACCATGTATTAGTGTGAAAGGTGTTGAAAAATAGTGAATATTAATGTGTTGAGCAAAACACATTGTGTTGAGAAGGATGTAACGTTAGTGACTGTAGCTTGCAATAAGTAAATGTCTTCTTTGTTTTTTTCTTTAGGCTTATTTTCTTACAGGAATTAATATCAACAGATATTTCCTTCTGTTTTTTTATGTCCTGAATGACACCCTTTCTTATACCATCTTTTTCCCCCAAAGAAGAAGGGAATTAATTCACCACATCTTGTTATTTAGTTTTTCATTTTAAAAGCAAAATAAAAAATACTCTCTGTTTCTCCTTCTTTCTGTTGTCTCCAAAGTTTTAATAACTTAGCAAAAAAGTCAGTATCCCTCTGTTTATTTAACCACCTATATTATGCTTTGCCTCAGAATGTTTAATTATGGAAATAATTCTTAAGTTCAGTGGTACAGGAAATTATAAGTTTGTTTCCATTTTGTAAGGTATAAAAAAATGTGTCTACAGAATGGATTACATCTGTTATGTCTGCTCCCAAAGTGATAATTTTTTATGATCCTTTACTTTTTTCCTTTCTTTTCCTTTATGAGCTGTGTCCATAAAAGTCAGCTTAATTGCAAGCTAGCCTTACCTCCTACATAGGCATACCATTTGAAGTGCATAGGTGATAATCCTTTTTTGAGGCCCGATGGACCCTGCTGAGATATCAGGCTTGATTACTTTTCTCAGCCCCTCTTTTTGCTGGAGAGTCATAACTGTATATGTCTTCATTAACCTTTCTACAGGTTTGTTATTGGGCGAGAAAAACCAGGACAAGTGAGTGAGGTTGCCCAGTTGATAAGCCAGACGCTGGAACAAGAAAGGCGTCAGAGAGAGCTGCTGGAGCAGCACTATGCCCAGTATGATGCTGATGATGACGAGGTGAGTCACACGCAAACATTCTTTTTCCTGCGTTTCTTTTCACTGCATTTCCTACTTTATAAAATTCTCTACTGTGTAACAGTGTGACAGCTTCTTTGAAGTTTCTTAAGGAGGATGTGTCTACACTGAGCTAAAATTCAACCTCACAGAAAAGAAATACTGCTTGCACTTGATATTAACTTATGAATCAAGTCATGGCATCCTATTTACTGTGTGAAACCTGTGGAAACATATTATTACCACATGGTTATGAAGAAATTTATGGAAACAAAAAAGGGTAAAAAGACTATAATGTGAATAATGGCTATCTTATTGCTGGAATTAGGTGATTTTTCTCTCTTTGCTTTGTATTTTTTTAATCTTTTCCAAATGTTCCATGATAAATATGTAATGTTTTTCCCCCCAAAATCAGTAAACATTTTAAGTGAAAAACACCCCCCCCCCCCC